TACACTTGTCGTAAATTACACTAATAGAATTGAAGCTCGAAAGAGCAGCCTTTGACCTGCCTCACCACTTTCGACGTGCCGGGAAAGCCGGATGTGTGCCCTCTGTGCCATGGTTTGGGAGGGCATCACCCCTGATCAGCTCACGGGAACTTGCGTCATTAAGCACTTTGGATCCGCGGTGGCCGCGCATCACAGGCCACTGCAATCCCTGGAATCCTGGAAATCACCCCCACACCAGGGGTGACAGGTCATCGCCGCCCTGAAATCTGCACCCAACCGCCACTGCGGTCTCTCATGTCAGGATATGGTTGGCTGAGGACCTCGGCATGCGCATCCATTATGCCACGCAATTGCTGAACTTTTCAAGCCTATTCCAGCCAAACGACGCCCGGCGCAATGATCCCGTGAGAGCGTACGAGGGTCCAAGACTCCAAAATAGCAATTGCTCCTTGCAGCCGTGCCCAAAACTTGGCTTTTTGGATCCGCAGCCCCACCAACACAGTCTGGCGACCTGAGCTCAGCCCCCCCGGAAATTAGCGCGGAACGGCTCCGAGATATCTGGTGGCCATGGCGCTGGGGAATTGGGTGGAATGGGCCATGGCGAGCATGGGAGGCAAGGCGATCACACCCAGCCATGAAACATGGCAGTTCTCCCATGTATTTGGGACGTCTCGGATTGGTTTGGATCATGGCACGATCTGGGATCCCTGGCTGTTGTGTAATTATCACGGACTCCGACTTATCATTTGTAAAGCAACCTTCTTATCTAGGGAGCTGTGTTGAATGCAATACGAAGTCATCACGATCGCGGCATAACTGCAGCATAACTATGCCATTACGGGAATTATGAAAATAGAGACAAGAAGCGCAGAATCTCGTAAGTTGAAATAAGTTGGCATGTAACACATCTCGACCTATCGTTCCATGAGAAATACCCGTAGATGAATTGGCTGTGGACGATGCTTGCTGTAGGGTAGGGGGATGCGGGTATTCCAAGAGGGAAGGCATGTGTCAGGGCCTTCCACATCCTAAAGCGACTTTCAACGACACCACATCTCAACCTTGGGACTCTTCAGCTCTTTCAGTAATTCCAGATCCATCCCATATTGCTTCAGACAAACGAAAATCATGTCATACATCTCCAATACATCTTTGCACCACTCGTTGTCCGGTAGCCGTTTGATTTGGGGAATTGATCGCTCGTCAACTAATGCATCCGCCCATGTAACATCGAACTGCTGAGATACGACCATGTGTTTGGCTAATTCAAGACCTGGAGAATTGCTCAAGCTAGATTGGCCAGCTTTGAACGCCATCCCGACAACCAGAATACGAGGTCTGCTGCCTGATACTGCCCCTTTATCGAAACGATTCAGCTGTTCTATTGCTCGTTCTGCAATAGCTGCGGGCCGGGACCACATTATTTTGGTTGCCTTTTCCAGGAGAGGAAAGCTATTGTTGGAAAGCAGGTAAAATGGGTTGATGGGGATGCAGTGTCCACCCACACCAATGCCTGGCGTATACGACATAAACCCAAAGGGTTTGGTTGAGGCGGCATCACAAACCTCGAAGGGATTGATACCGTGAGAGATGCAGGCATCAGCCATCTCATTGGCATATGCAATGCATACCATTCGCTGACAGTTCTCATACAGTTTGGTCATTTCTGCGACCTCAGGCGTGGAAACTGGAACCAAATGGTCAAAGACACGGCCATAGATGTTGGATATGGATTCCAGTGACCCAGGGACGATATCATCAAGCCCGGAGACAATCTTGGGTATGGATTGAACCGATGGATGCTTTCTCCCTGGGTCGACTCTCTGTTATGATATTTATCAGAATGCGCAGAGCAACACGGAAGAGTAGCGGGGTAAATCACCTCAGGCGACATGCCAGCAAAGAAGCCGCACTCCTCGGCCAGAGGCCCAAGAAGCTGCCGAGTCATGCCAACGGCGACAGAGCTTTCTATGACAATGGTTGAACCGCGACGGGCTACCGTACCAACGGTTTTGAGTGCTTCACGAAGATAGGAGGAATCGATAGTCCGGTCCGGCCTCAGCAGGGTCGGAACTGAGATGAGGAAATGTGTCGCTTGAGCGAGATCCCTCGGATTGCTAGAGATATTGACTGATGAGACCGTGTCGTACTTCTCACTGAGCTCACGCGCTCTCTCACTCGACACATCAAAGCCAATAACACGAAAGTGGCTGGAGAAGGTCTCCACAAGATGGCTACCGACATAGCCAACACCCAACACGGCAACAATAGGGTTGTCATCAAACCCCTTCGTGTTGATGAAGGAAATAGTGAGGTCACTTTCGCTGGCGCTTACAGAGATGGGTGGGGTCTCTGGATAGAAGTCTGAATGCAGATATCCCCATGGAGCATCAACTTGGTCTTGAGTTTCTTGAAGCTTTGCGCCTTGAGTTCGAGACCCAGGTTCAATGTTTGCGGCAATAATCTCAGTCGCCATCTTGATTGATAAAGGATCTATGAATAAGAGAATTCAACAGAGGAACAGAAGAAAGGAATTTAGGCGCCAAGCTTGTTCTAGGAATCCGTGTCTAGATGAGCCGTGGTCTTGGTACCCTTTGTCCTGGGTGTTTCGAACTGAGTTGGGCAAACATGTCATATACCGTTCGGAACCAAGGGTTATGAACAGAGGAACCCGGAGGATCTCGAAAGTGAGTGGCATTGTGCTCGCCACGGAAGAGAGCATCCGATCGGAGAGATTCAGGTCCACTGTACAACCTGTTCCTCTTATGGGCCAAAGTCTCGTTGGATCCACGTCCCTACTTCTGCCGTATTCAAAGTTCAGGATCATTGCCTTGTCAAGATACATCATGAGATCATGCAAGGCAAGTTGTGTCCTCCCCCCCCCTTTACTGGCTTTATGGTGCAATTCTACCGGGTTTCAAACGATGATCCCTCAGCTTGCCTCAAAAATTCCCCGTCCTCAACAAAATCTCCGATACAATGGTTCCATCTGTTTGTGGGTTGAACGGGGCACAGCGCCAAGCTCTTGCCGCAGGTACGGAGACAATGCAGTCGTGATATCTCTTCCTTGGCAAGAGGAGACCCGAACTCAAATTCTAACCTAATCATTAATAATCTTGACAGCTTAAATGGAACCCTAGTATCACTTGAGGGCAGGGCACTACATGTACTACATGCTGTATGATTCATCACTTCTTTGGTGCCTGAAGCTTCCGATTGTTTGTGAGTCGAGGAGCCGAATGACAATCCACAAGTAGTAGCATTGCACCGAGGACTCGAGAGGCTGAGAGGGATGGAATATGGCACATCAAAGTCAGGCCACTGAAGACTGCTGACAGTCGGATAATAACAAAGCAAGATGCAACCCTTACCTATCCGACAAAGTTCAAAATGGCGCTGCAGATATCTCCTTGTTAGATGCTATTCAATGGCCGGGAAGAAGGGCTCTTGATCCACACTTCGACTCATTTTCGCCGATTACATGTTCCTGCAAGGATTTCCTGTACACAAATTACAGGAATCTTTTGACCGGATACAGCCTCTAATCCGCGTGAATGGATGTTTGTGTTTCCAGGTCATTCAAGCTCCTGGCTCGGGATCGATGGACGGGGACTACGGTTCATTTGATTGAACGTTTGAAACGTGATACACGATCTGCACAGAGTCTCGTGTTTTCGGAAGGCTTGAAGCGAGCACAAGCCGGTTGCTATTCATACAACGTATGAAGAGCCAGACTTCCCGTGACAGCAGCTCTCACCCCCAAGCCACCTTCAAACATGCCTGCTGAAACTCGTGGTAATATGCCGTGGAACAAGCCTCTCAGATTCCAACATTCATGCCGAGTAGATTGACACTGTGGCTGCAGATGCATATGTAGAGATTCGCTGCAGGTGCTACCTTGTGGAAGCTGTTGAGGTTTTTTATTGATAGCCGCTGGCTGATGACTTCGTGTAGGCTTTCAAGGTCAGAACCGACCGAGCTTCAAGGTTACATTCGGCGCTTCACTACAGTGCCTGGACCGATCTGTTATTGGGCTTCGTTTTCGTCCTGATCTCGGAGAACTTATTGTTGTGGACATGATTTGCACCATCTTTCACCCAGCTGAGCAAATGATAGCCGATGTACTTATGATGTATCGAATGGCCTGATACTGTGAGTGCCTTACCCCCTTGCTGACAAGCCATCAATGTGTCTGGGGTAGCACAGCACGATCAAACCTCGGGTCTGAAACCTAGCGGTGGAGGAGGCGCCAAGAGGAGAAAAGAATTTCCAGGATGAGATACAGCTGAGATCTCACCTCGCAACGTACAGTCTGTATTGATCTGTAATCAGCCAATGGGTGCCGCCACATCGGGATTGCGTTGTGGGGTGTAATGTAGCAACATGTTTCTTATTTCCAGGCAGACAGTTCATCATGTCTTCTACTAGGTCAGGGTTACTTGCAGTTTAGACGTCAGGTCTGCATGGCAGGCCAGTCTTCTCGTTCCTCATGACCAAGACTGGCAGGGAAGTGATGACCACTCTAGTGAGTTGGTCGGCTTTGAGGGCATGGATCACCGAGATTGTGTGAGCCGCATTGCATCCATCTCGGATTACGGCATGATACCGGAAGGTTACAACGCGAAAGAAAACACCCAGAATTGAGCTTAGTTCCGATGCTTTACGATCATGTACCCCATGGGCATGCTGTAGCCCGGTCGTATTCGTTATGCGTGGGCTGGGTTGCCGCCAGGCGGGTCGGGGCATTTCCTTGCCAGCTCACGCATCCTCGAGAAGCGGAGAACCAGGAAGACTGATGAGAACAGACATTTTTGCGACCTTACATGTATTTGCTGGTCATTGCCTGACTGGTTTATGTTAAATGGGATCTGAGTATCCAGCCTTTGTTAAGCTACTTGCTCACATTAAAAATGCATCAGCGAACTATAGGATCTTGGTCATTGAGCGCCCTTCCCACATCCTGTGTATTTGAGAGGGCCTTATTGCCCTAATGAGTTACAATGGGTTCGATCGACATCTCGTTTGTTTTCAGCTTGGAGAAGACTAAAAAGGAAACAATCGTTCCCAAGCAGACTCAAGTAAGTGAAAGTCCAGTTGGTACAACGAAAGACGGCTATGGTAACTAAGATGGCAGTTGAAAACTACGCCAATAAGCGAGGCCAGGGATTCACAGCCCGCAAAGCTCGATGGGAAGCGGAAGTTGTTACTGCCGTCTCGCCCTGAGAGAGCCTATATTTATGACTCGGAGGATTCAGTTGCTGAGAGCCTGGGCAGAATTTCAAGGAATGCTGCCGGTGATGATTTATATTCATCCAATGAAGAAAATCCCTTTTCAAATGCAGCATCCTCCAAGTCGTCAGTTGTCCAGGATACTGTCGAAAATCCTGGCACTGGTCAACCGCAAGTATCTTACGACGCCTTCAAACCAAAGAGACCACCCGGTAGGCCTCTCATCACACCGACAGTCCCATACCTTGGCCCCCAAACTCCCTCTGGAGTAGAAGGACACTTTAGCGATCCATATGAAAATGATTCTGGTTCTCGATATGGGCAACCGGAAGCCAGGGTCGCAGTTCCACCGGAATGGAATACGCAGCCCAACACTCAAGCTGACAGTATCCCAACGCCAAAGTTGGCGATAAAGGATGCAGGCAAACTGCAAAGTCAGACAGACTCGCTTCAAAAGCGAGGCAGAAGAAAGATGACGGTAACGAAATTCATTGTTGCAGCTGGTTTGATTGCTGTCAAGTAAGAAATCCCGCGCCTACTTCCCCGACACCCTTTCCAATTTTATGGCATGGAACTGATTTGAGGACAGTGGAATGTTCATATTTGCATCTTGGTGGTGGCAGAAGTATTATTATATATACCTACCATTCATCTGCCTGCCACTTGCATTGAACTGTTTCATGATTGCTTCCATTATCTTCTTCAAGCTGAGAAATACTGCTCGCCCGGAGAAGATCATCGAGCCTGAGCATGTTGTGTCTTTTGGCATGGTCATTCCGTGTTATAACGAGACTAGAGAGGAATTGACCAAGTCTCTAGACTCTCTTGTCGTCCAAACTGGCATTGATGACAATAAGAAGGCCATCATCGTTATTTGCGACGGCCGTGTTCGCGGCCCTGGGATGGAAAAGACGACGGCGGACTACCTTTTCGAGGATATCTTGACTGAGCAGACACATCGCAGTAAGATAAAGAAGGCTTATATGGCCTGGGATGGGCAGCAGATGGACATCGAAGTGGCCAAAGGCTTCTATAAAGGCCTGCCCTTCTGCTGCATTGTCAAAGATCAAAACCAAGGCAAGCGAGACAGTTTGATTGTTGTTCGCTCTTTTCTGCACAAGTTCAATCACCGGAGGGCCAATCCTGAGCACATCTTCTCACCACGCTTCTTCGACTATATGGAGAGCTGGCTGGGCAAGGATGTCGATGTCGACTATATTGACCACCTTGTCGGAATGGATGCTGATACAGTGTTCGATACTGATTGCATTTCGCAGCTGCTGAAAGAATCTAAATACCCGCACACCGTCGGTGTCTGTGGGTATGTCGCAGTGGACTTTTCGGGTGGCAGCTGGAACTTGTGGTCGTTGTACCAGAATTCGGAATACAGCATTGCACAAGGACTCCGCCGCTTGCACCAATCTATTGCCACGAAAAAGGTCTCCTGTCTTCCCGGGTGCTGTCAGCTTCTTCGCATCTGCGAATATACCTGTGGAGACAAGGTGCTGGTCGAGCTTTTTGGCTATCATCCTAAACCACTCGACGGGCTGCTTACGCAGATCAGGGCAACTGCTTCGGAAGATAGAAACCATGTAAGTTTTCTCCATATATTAAACCTTTGCTATTACCCCTTTTGGGAAAATGGATGGGTGTCTACCTATGGATCGGATTCTAATCAGGGCAATCTTCCAGGTCTGTCTCATGCTTACGACGCACCCGGAGGCCCAAACTCGCCAGGCTCTTCAGGCAAGAGCATTTACGGATGTGCCTCACTCTTGGAGTGTCTATCTGTCTCAGCGTCGACGGTGGACGTTGGGAGCCACCAGCAATGATCTTTTGCTGTTCCTTTCCTGGCACTGCCAGTGGTGGGAACGAATCCTTGCATTCAGCAATGTTCTGGGATGGTGCCTCAACGTGTTCATAATCGCATCTATTGCATGCATGGTTGTGGCCTTCATGTCACAGCCGTGGTGGATCATCTTGGCATTTGCGTCCGTCATGATTGTTCCGCTTTGCTATTACCTCTTGATGACTCTGTGGCTTCCACGCACTCTGAAAGAGAAGATGCAATATCTGGCGGGGCTATTCATTTTCGTCGTCTTCGGACCATTTGTCAATATCACTGTCCTTCTATTCGCCGTCTGGAACATGGATAGTTTCGGATGGGGGAAGACACGGATGGTCGTTGCTGATGACAGCAAGGACGAGTCAAAGGAGAAAAGAGGCACCACACCACGCATCACTGAGCCGGATTCGAGCACGGGCGCCCATGACCAGGCATTAATGGAAAAGCCCCGACAGCCCGACGAGGAAGCTGCTGTGGAGACCGTGATCCATCGACCTACATCGACACATGTGCGGCCTCCCCCTGGCGTGGAATTTGAGTTGAGGGGATGAAACCCGACGGCAAAGGTGCCTGAGAGATCATGAGCGAGGCAACGGTATGGCGGAATTTCTTCTTCTGCACATGAAATGTACATGGTATATGCAACTAATGCTTGGAGCATGGATATTGCCATGTTTCGGGAGCTTGTTTCATTGTTATGTAGTTTGATGGTGCTACGGATGTTAATGCATGTATGTCTCCACCTCCTGCGCTGCACTCATGCGTGATGAATCTGGAGGGATAGAGGCTGGGCTGTGATGGCCAAATGTGGAAATTCTGAGAGAAATTAATATATTACCCAGCATATTGAGGCGTTTTCCCCGCGCCAGATATATGTATGATCGATCGATTGTTGTTGGCTTGCAGGGCTTGACATGCCATGCCATGCCATGCCTGTCTCAGCTTTTGAGCTGCGTGACCTAGGGAATGGCTCTTGCTGCACGCCTTCTGGTTGCCCTTGATAGTCTACTTTATCTCATCGTAGCGATTCTGACATCAAGGACAAAGAGAGATAGCATAATCAACTTGGGCCTTGGGGGAAGTTCTCTCGCCTTATTCACCCACCTCTTTCACCAATGCCAGACAGGTACCTCAGGTACCTGCGTGGTAAATTGTGATACGATGCTACGTACGATGCTTTGATCGGGCGTGCTGGAAGTGGAAATGCATGCAGACCTAATGGAATACGAGGTGTCACAGCAGCCGCTAATCACTACCTCAAGCAAGGTGACGCAACACACGGTCCAACGAAGTTTGGCATGCATGCGATCAACATGCAATATGCACTAATGTCTTTCCTATGTATAAGTCTTCCTCGAACAGTGGCCGGATTTGAACCCCTGTGTACAACGGTTGTCAAACTCTCAAGTCCAAGGCTGAAGGCACACACGCCACACGATCGCGAGTCGATAACCCTCGTATATCTCTATCATACTTCATTCAAAGCTGCGATGTTCGTAATTGATAGCATCTGAATCCATGGTGGCTACCTGGCAATCTAACTGGGAGGAACCGAAACCAAGGTCAGGGTTCAGGGATTTGGAGAGCGAACCATTTCAAGTTTCTGCGTAAGCTGGTAGGATCTCGAACATGAAAGATTGAGCAAGGATCAGCGGATCTTTTGACCTCGTGCTCATCCCCCAAGCCACTGCAAAGGAACCTGACGGCATCACGCTGCCTACTACGTATATAGATACGCACCTTGTGCGTTCGCCGGAGAATCAGACGTAGATCCTTATTATTACCGATTACTGTGATGTAACGAGGTACTCGGATTGTTTTTGATCACAGTATGTGACAATGGTTCATGGATGGATGGATGCGTAACAGGAGAACGAGCCTGATTAGGCTGATGCTGACCCGCCACTACGGGATAATGCGAAATAACATGTATTCCTCGGTAATAGAGAAGCCGTATTCGCGGATCTTATGGTTCGATAAACTGCCAGTCGGAAGACGCCGCTTGGCCTCTGCCCTTATTGCGAGCAAGATATGTGCATACCTAGTTTTACTGTACGCAGCACTGGCAATTAGCTATGTATTGAATGATATGTGTAAAAAAGAAGAAAAAGATATGGTTTTAGAAACGAGCTGAGATCCATATGCGTATCTAGATGGGTTTTATGATAAGCTCATGCTACTTTAAAGTTGAGACCTGGTGCCCTGAAACCTTGAACTGATCAATGGCCTTGCCTTGCTGAAGCTGCCGGAATCATGGGACGAAGAAAGAGCTTTCAGGCCAAATATAGCCAGAAGAAAGAAGTAGAGTTTCCTTTCTTGTACGACAGTGCAAGCTGATATCCTCTTCCCAAGACACGATCCTGCCCCTTTTCTTCTCTTGAAAACAATTCTATCCTCCCACACTCTACTCGTTCAGATCACCTCCATCATATGCTCACCGGGACATATTCTAACAGGGGAGGCCGATTGCTAATCTGGGCCAGTCTACAGGCGTCATCATCAAAACGTGCAAGGTCCCAGCGCACGCAGCCTTGATCTTTGATGATGGGCCCTCCAAATACAGGGAGGATATTCTGAACTTCTTTGAAGAATACGGGGCAAAGGGTACTTTCTTCATTACTGGGGACAACAACGGAAAGGTCGGATCGACGACTTTGAGATGCCGTGGCCCTAGATCTTCCTAGGATGCACAAAGGTCGCGATCAAGTCGGGTCGCACATGGACTTGTCCAGAGTTAACGAAATGACTCGCTAACGCGGCGACCGATACAACGAAATGGCAATACACACAATGTCCTCGGCGTCATTCCCAATTCATCATCTGAGATCTCAACATCATGGCTTTGAGAACAACTCTCCAAAGAGGATCGAGCTGTTCCAGGAAATATCTAACAACGAGTTTGAAAGGATAGGCAAGACCAAGGTGAAACAGGAGTATCACGGACACATTAAGTGGGAAAAGCCCAGCTGGTGGGAACCTTCCAGTGCACTTAGTTGTCACATCATGGCAGCCCAAGGCGGTCTCAAGCAAACGCCAAGAACCTCATCTCACACATGCTTCGGAGACTGGATAGCCTGGGGGTTAAGGCTGTAGGTCTGTGATAATGTCTGGGGCACAAGGACACAAGAGATTGGTATATGGACGCTGGAAGGACGCTGGGGGCTGGAAAGTGCCTTTATGGGTAGAGGATTGGACAGGAGAGATGCATTTTTATTTTTTGTATGATAGAGATCCTACAATATACGCAAGGAAGATTATGTCGAAGCACCCTTTTCTGTTTACATATCCGCTGTTCAATCTATGTCCTTCACAGACAAGTGGGTGAGATGGCTTGTGACTCACCAAGACCATCAACACAATAATGCCACAAGAATTAAACGTTTAAAGAACAAATAATTGACATACTTTTGTTATATAGTTTGTTATCAACTTATCATTGAGGTTACTTGTTTCAATCAAAGAATTTGTAGGCCTGAAGCACCCAACAAATTCAGAAAATAAGAGCAAAACCTTTTAATTTCTTCTCAAAGGCCTGGGCAATACGACTTGATATCACTGTTGGTTAAGGTGTCAGAAGGCAAGCTGAAAAATGAGACAAATGAGGGGGTGATGGGCCGAGATTCCCCAACTCATCGCCAAGATTTCAGCTGCCGGCTACCCGCCAATCAATAGGAAAAAGAGAGCCAAGCTCCCTTGTGACAACTCACTCTCCATCTGATAATTCGCTCTCCTCCCTGCCTTTTGTTGGCAACCAGCCAGTTGGAAAGAAGAGGAGACCAGTGTCAAGAAGGTGGTGGAGTAGATGGGATGATAATAGCTTGGCATTGAGCCTAGAAACACATGTATAGCAATTGATGCATGTTAGCCTGCAGGGCTCCATCAGGGTGCAGGCAGATGGTTTTGCGCTGACGACGACTTTTCCCAGTCTCCTCTTTGCGACCTGCTACGATCCGTCTCTCTCTTCAACATACTCAACCATCAGACAAATTATTCTTGATCAAAGCTCCAGCCGAAGACCGCTAGCATCATGCCGACCGTGAATGCAGTTTACTATCCTTCATGGAAGGTCTACAATGGCAAGCCACCGTCTTGCCTCAATGTACAGGCGACCACTCACATACTTTACGCGTTTATCCGGTGTGTGAAGCTTCACAACATTCACGCATGCTTGATTTGGATCAAGGCTGACTCCTCATAGCGTGAACGAAGATGGTTCATTAAAGGTGAGTACGGTCGTTCTCTGAGGGGATGAGGTCCGAGCTATGGCATACTGTTGATTGGATTAGCTGACAGAAATGAACCTGGGCAGCTCCTTGACGAGTGGGGTGACATCAACATGGAGGTCGATGGCGCCCAGGGATGCCTGGGAGCTCTGGCGAAACTGAAGCAGGAGAACCCAAATATCCGGACCTTGATATCGGTTGGGGGAGGATCAGGCAGTGATGAGTTCCCGGCACTTGCGGCGAACCCAGACGCCAGGGCCGTATTCGCTCAGCAGATTCGAGAATTCTGCGACCGCCACGCGTTTGATGGCGTCGACAGTGCGTGGCTCTTCCAGATCTTTCTCATTCTAGTTGGTTTCGGGGATAAGCTAACCAAGTGCGTTTTGTTTCCTATAGTCGACTGGGAGCATCCTACAACAGAGGATCAAGGTTGGGACTACCTGAGCCTACTCCAAGCCACACGGGAGGCACTGCCGGGACCTGACTATCTCGTTACAACAGCACTGCCTGTCGGAGAATACTGCCTGCAGCACATTGATCTCGAGGCAGCTGGGAGGATTTTGGACTTCATCAACCTCATGGGGTACGATTTCGTGGGTGGATGGACTGATGTATCGGGCCACCATGCTCAGCTTTGTCTGCCCAGTGACGATGTTGACGAGGTCCATCCAAACTTGCGCCATTGCTGCGCGGGGGCAGTGGATTATATCATATCCCGCGGATTCCCAAGCTCCAAGATTGTCCTGGGCGTGCCTGCATATGCCAGGTTCTTTCCTGGCGCCAGCGGACTGGGAGAAGCATTTTCGGAAGCAGGGGAGCTCGACTACTGTGACTTGTCTGAAGACTGCGTCAATCACGCGCAGGTGGATGAGAAAGCCGCCGCTGCATGCTATGTTGACGACTGTGATGGGAAGGGGTTTGTGACGTTTGACGTTCCTCGGACGGTAGTGCTGAAGGCCCAGTTCGCAAAGGAGAAAGCACTAGCCGGTCTCTTCTACTGGACTGGAGTCGGAGACAGAGAGGGAGACCATAGTCTAGTCGCCGCGGGATATACCGAACTGACATCATAGTATGAGAGCATGGGCAGGGTCCTTGAATTGAGGACTCGAATTGACGAGCTAGGGAACGTGTGGGTGTGCTCCAGGATAACTTAATTATGACGGACCTGCATTGTTTGATGCTTGCACCAATCGCCTTCAAGGAGCAGCTTAGTCATGTGCCTGTGGAAGGAGTGACCCACCACATGCCCCTACGTCATACACTAATTATCGTGATGCTGCGACCAGCTCAAAGCATTGGGCCTTGATTTGTACGTGACCAGCAAACAAATAAAACCCAGGCTTGATCGTCAATTTAAATGCTTGGTGTATTCTAAATCTTCATCTTTACTTAAACCCTAAAAACCAACTACCAAGATTCAACAATATTTAACAATCAACAACACTACTACATACACCTAACTTGTATGTGCCTCCCATCAACTACCTCCTTCGGGGGATTAGTTAGAGGTCTTTCGGCAGGAGCTATCATTTGCTAACTATATTAATTAGCAAATACCTTCGAAATCATGGGATTATTTTACTCAAAGGGATTTGGCAATCGCCATGTTGGAACCAGTGTCAATGTTAGCAGAAGAGGCGTCCACCGCGGTCCTTGGAGGTTTTCACTGGGCAGGTTCAGCTGCTTCAGACACTAGAGGAAGAGACGGTGGCGAATTTGACGAGTAACAAATGCCTGTTCTGTTTTAAATGAATCCTAATACCAATGCGTTGCGATGCGCTGGTGGCCAGATACCTGTGTCGCCTATTTTCAAAATAAATATTTTCTTTTGACTCTCTGTCATATCAAACTCAAGAACAATGATTGTGAATGATGTCCTAGGTTGGTGATGGCTCAGTGCCTCCGATAGTTATGGCAATTATGCGCTTAGTGGGACGCTGCTACCTGGCTACAGGGTACGTCTTGCACCGCGCCAGTAGCCCGTCTTGGAATTGCCCAAACTTCACCATCAAGCGGGAGAGCAGGGAGTGAAGTATCAGCAAAATGAAAGGACTTTCGACTTCATTTCTATAATTTTTCTCCCTTTCAAGCACACTGGCACTAGCTCTTGTCAAAGCGCAGCAATGGTCGTGCTGAGCTTCACGATCAGCGACGATGGTGTGGGTGCCTTTCGCGATGCCTTGATCTGTCTCAGCAAGTTCAGCGACGATGTGTCTCTCGAGGCACGGAAAGATTCGGTGCGCAAAGTCTATGAATTGGCTCAATATACGAGACAATGTCGCTGACCACATGCTTCAGTTCGTTCTGAGTACTCTCAATAGCTCCAAGTCTGCCTACGCGAGCTTCAAATTTGCGACCACCAAATTCTTTTCACGGTACCAGTACCACGGTGGAGGACAGTTTCCCGAGCGGTTCTACTGCACACTTTACATAAGGGCAAGTCGTTTTAACCTCGGATCCCTTCTGAGTTGTGCCCTAATAGCTTTTTTAGGCCCTCATCTCGTTGTTTCGAAGCCGTTCTGGGTTGGACAATCAGCGTGATGCCGACAAGCAGACCATCATTGATCGATGTGACGTCGTTATCGAGGACGGAGAAGGAATTGAAAGTCGCTTCATTTCCCGAATCATCTTTAAGAATGGACTGACTTCTACCCACCGCCTGCCGTACGAGATTGCGGTGCCAGTGCACGCCAAGTTCAACAAGCAAGACGCACCTCATCATTGGACCATTTCATCACGAACACTCCGGGAGCTGATGGAACATTTCGGGCCCGGTGTCGAGTACCTAGACATCAACACGGAGGGTGATCACGTCAAGTTTACATGTTTCAGTGAAAAGACTGTGAGCGAAGACAGTACGTTCTTGATTCATCCGCAATCTTATCTCTGTCCCATTCAGTTTCCTGGAGCGCAACGCAGCGAACTAACACGGCCGTAGTGGTTTTAAAGAAACCCCTTAGAACTACAATCTCTCTGGAAATCGACGAGTTCGATGATATTGATGTCGAGGATGACCTCCACATCGTCATCACCGTCAAGGATTTTCGCGCCATCATCCAGCACGCTGGAATTACTGGTAACGACATTTCCGCGCGCTATTCCCTCCCTGCCTGTCCCATTCAACTCGCCTATCTTGGAGATTCTCTCTCGTGTGAATTCCTCATCATGACGGTTGGCGATCGCGGTGCCAACCCAGCCCAGAAGACCAAAAAGGGCCGTAAGAGTGCCCCGGCCAAGACTGCTGGGCCGCGACTGGAGGCCATCTCCCGTAGAACGAGTCTCGCCCCATCCGAGCCCCCGCAGCCACCGCAGAACCAGCCAGAACCTGCTCCCCAGCCTGCACCAACAGCATCCTTGAGTGCCCGGCCACAACTGAGTACGGCGAGAGCTAGTGCCTCTCGCTCTGGTGTGTTCGATTTGCGTCCAACTCAACAGCAGCCGCCCCCTCAGGCCACGATGATGTCGGAGAGCCTCTTTGTGGATGATGACGGAGGTTGGGAGCCTATGAGGGATGAAGAGGCAGATGAAGAGGAAGACAATGCAAGGTTAGGATGGGACCATAGTGCTGAGCCAGTAAGTCTGATCACCCCTCCGGGCCAAGTTCTATTAAGCTGACCCAACAGAACCCCCCTTCCTTCCATCTGAGTCGGCCACCGGAGCAGCAACAGCAGCAGCAGAAAGAACCAGAGGCTGAGCCTGGGCTTGTGCCAACAGCCGACGACCGGGAAGCAAGTTTTGTTGAGCCGACACAGAAGCTGTCTGATGTTATGAATCTTGCCCTCTTCCCGGATTAATCGCAGTCGTTAAAATAATCACAGTCCCTTGAGCATCATGTTGCTTTCTAATTGTTTTATTTTGAAGCCAAGTTAATCGGCTGCTGAAATATAGATCCAGCTAGTGGCGCATCCTGCCCCTATCGTGGCAATGCGAGCCTCTTTCGGTATAAATTTTGACGATGCTATGACATTCCATCGACCCTTGACATCGTTGTTTTCAACTTGTGGCCCGCAATTTCCATGTTCTCCCCAGCCCCAGGACAGCACATCGCCACTTTCTGATAACGTAACAACGTGCTCGCTTCCTATAGCAATCTTTGAAAGAGTAGGGAGTTCGGGGGGTGGCAGTTGCCCGTGATCGTCCCGTCCCCATGCGACCAGGCGACCCTCTTCGGTCAAGATATACACACTGCCCCAGCTCGCTCCAGCATCCTTCCAGGCTGGTGCCTCTTTTGGTGCATTGGACTGTATTGACCACTTGTCGGAGCCCAGCACAGTAATTTCCCCTTTGCCAGACTCTCCAAGAAGACATGTGGATTCTTTACAGCACACTGCCCTGTAGACGTGAAAGCCAACCCCTTCAATCTTGCGCGGCGAATGTATTACTTGTGCCGGCTCTCCCGCCTGCCTTTTGCGGCAGTTTCCCCAGCCATAGGCATCACCGTTACTTAGCACAGCGACGGCATGACCCATGGAGGCGTGCAAATCTACGATCTCTGTTCCAGGCGGAGGGAAATCCTTGATCAGCGTCGCCGAGGGTGTCCTAACGATGAGCTCACCAGCTCCGAGCTCGCCCTTCATGCCCACACCGAAGCTGTACAGTCTCGTATTTTTGCCTTCGCCGTCCCTTGCCACCACGAACGAAGCTTCCCAGGCTGCAGCCACTAGCGCACACTCTCCGATGGCTTCGTTCCCGTCTTTCGACAGCTGGATTTCTTGGAAGACAGGCACAGTTGGGGGAGACGCTATGCCGCACGCCCCAGTTTCCGAATTTCCACTCCAGAATATCTGGCCGGCCTCGGTGAGTATTAGAGTGTGGTTGCCGCCAGCTACAATTCTCGTGATGCGTGACTCTGGCTGGGATGGGTGGAATATGACAGGCTTGGGGACAGATACATCTTCTTTATGGCTGATACCCAGCTGGCCAGATCCATTGGATCCAAGCGCGAATAAGGCGTTCATGATGGCATTTATCTTCGTGAGCTTCGCGTGGCTTGGCTACCCTGTGGAAGATGCTGTAGCTGCACAGGTCTTATACCATCTTGGTGTTGATCCACTTTGAGCAGGCACAGCAGATTGCGTGGCCCCCACAATTAAACGCAGTAGACCGTATATGCAGTTATCAGCAACCTGATTTTTTTTTTCGCTCCTCTATTTAGAAGCTAGAAGCCTCGCGTTTTGCTCTGGCATTCCTCATCCTTCCTTGCAAACTTTTCTCCTGGGCGCACCTGGAGGAGACTGCTAAGGTTGTCGATTCTCTTTCTAGGTGTGAGAGCTCTTCTTGAGCTTCGCGTTCCTGCTGTCATTACTGATGGCTGCCGCCACCAAGTCCGATGCAATCCCTGAAGGGATGGAGGGCTTCGTCGTGGGCCTGATTGGCATGGGCGACATGGGCAAGTTGTACGCCGAAAGATTATCAGCTGCAGGATGGAGGTAAGTTGTTTTGCCGTGTGCTACACGAAACACGCTGGCTCCCTTTGAAATGGTAAGTTTGACTCATCTCTCTGCCCTCCCTCTCTTCCCCCTTCCGGTACTATGATGACTAGAGCGCATTTGGCTCGAGTATCTGCCTGGACAGTCTGGTTCCCGTTATGGGCGCCAGATGTCGTCCTGGCTGGTCACTGATGTAAACGCTTGCTACCTTATTTTTTCTTCGTCTGACTGTACCTCACCCTTCATCTTTCTCTTCAAGCACCTGCAAACCCTTTACCGGACCTTGAGCTGACCAGATGAAAATCAGAAATAGATGAATAGCTACGTGATGTACGAACCACACATTCTGATGCCTGGCTAGGATATTGGCGTGCGACAGGGAGGAAATGTACGACAGTCTGGTTGAGGAATACTCTAGCAACGTACGACCTGTGCTGTCCCATGCTCGCTCCGACGCCTTCGCTGAAGCCTTGCTTGTATAGAACAGAATAGAGATATGCCGAAATGGCCACCTGGTATCCCGCGCAAGCGACTACATCATCTACAGCGTCGAGGCTGCCATCATTGACCGTGTGATTGCCCAGTATGGCCCTTGTACGCCGTCCCTCTCCTCGTGAAGATTTGCCACACCTGTAAAAAGCGACCTTGATAGAAGAAACCCGTCTTCTGACCAGCGAGCGCAGCTACCAAACTCGGCGCCATCGTCGGCGGCCAGACGTCCTGCAAAGCCCCCGAGATCAAGGCGTTTGAGAGCCACCTCCCCAAAGACGTCGACATCGTCTCGTGCCACTCCCTCCACGGCCCGTCCGTCGACACCCACAACCAACCCCTGGTCCTCATCCAGCACCGCGCGCCCGACTCGGCCCTCCGCAAGGTCGAGGCCGTCCTCTCGTGCCTCCGCTCCCGCTTCGTCTACCTCTCCGCCGCCGAGCACGACCGCATCACGGCCGACACCCAGGCCGTCACGCACGCCGCCTTCCTCTCCATGGGCAAGGCCTGGCACGCCAACAAGCAGTTCCCCTGGGAGCTGAGCCGCTACGTCGGCGGCATCGAGAACGTCAAGATCAACACCATGCTGCGCATCTACTCCCAGAAGTGGCACGTCTACGCCGGCCTCGCCATCATGAACCCCGAGGCCGGGAAGCAGATCGCCCAGTACGCCCGCAGCGTCACCGACCTCTACAAGCTCATGCTCGAGGGCGACCTCGACGGCCTGCGCGACCGCATCCTCGCCGCCCGCGAGAAAGTCTTCGGCCCTTCCTTCACCTGGGGGTCCCGCCCGCTCGTCCGCCCCGAGGTCCTCACCTCATTCTCCCTCGGCACGCCCAACCCGGACGCCGAGCCGAGGCCCAACAACCACCTTTCGCTGCTGGCCACGGTCGACTGCTGGGCCGCGCTGGGCATCGTCCCCTACGAGCACATGATCTGCAGCACCCCGCTGTTCAGGCTGAGGCTCGGCGTGACTGAGTACCTGTTCGCGGACAAGGACATGCTCGAGCAGACGCTGCGGACGGCCGTGTCCGACCTGACGTACCGGAGCGACGATCTCGAGTTCACGTTTGCCGCGCGGGGGTGGGCCGAGTGTGTTGAGATTGGGCACTTCGGATCGTACGAGAAGAGGTTCAAGAGCACGCAGGAGTTCTTCCAGCCCCGGTTCGAGGAGGCCAAGATTGTGGGTAACCAGATGATGAAGAAGGTCATGGAGACTGTGACGGACGAGAAACCATGATGCCGGAATCTAGTCCCAATCCTAAAACATATAAATAAAGCTGAGAGACAAAAGAAATGTACCAAGTGATGTGACATTTCCTGTTGCGTACTATCCGGATCTACTCTGCACAATGTATAGACTGGCTCGAACAATTCGGTGGATATCCTAGGTGGGATTCATCTGACAGTAGCCTTGCTAACCAAACCCACCTCTGGTTTCTCTAGCTCTCCGCTCTCCTGCTTGCCTCGTACTTGGTTATACTTGGGTAATCACGTCCGGGATGCCGAGCTCGGTGCTCTCTTCCAAGACGGCAACGCCGTATTCAGTTGCCAAACTGCTTTCGCCCTCTGCAGAGCTCGTAACTAGGCTCTCCTGGGCGTAAACGCGAATCTCTTCTGTTGGTCCTGGCATTTGTAATGTAGTTTTGCTTGCCATACCAGAAGCCTCCTTGGACCGGTAAGCTGGCCCTGCATCGCGCTCATAGTCTGGCTCGTACGGACGCTCTTCGTCTAGGAAGTTGTCGTCGAGATCAGTGAGCTGACCTTGTGATTCAATCAGGGGAAGCGAGTGGACCAGTTGCTGCCGCATGAACTGATTGGACTTCAACGAGAGGGAACTTCTGTCAATTAGCAATCTATCTTTTTGTATACTTTTTGCAGGGGCACGAACCTTCGACCATCAGTGATGCTTGGCTCTTCGGCGAACCCAAGCGAGTATGTTTCAGAGGCGCTTGATAACCCGTACGGGCTGGGAGAGGGCGGGGGCGTCCAGGCAGGTCGTGCTTGTGCCGAGCTTTGAGCTTCCGGAGTTGTTTGCGTGAAGACTGCAGACAGGTTGTCGTAGCCTGGTGAGTGCTTGAGGGTTTTGGGAGTAGCTTCTGCTGCCTGCGAAAGAGAGAAGCTGCCATCGAGTTCAAGGCCTGTTCGAAAGCCCACTCCTCTGCCAGAGGGATATTGTTGACTGCTGGAAATTTGCTTCTCAAGGAGCTCTATGAGACTGATGTCTGACTCCGGCAAGGAGTTATCGGTGCTCCCATCGCGATTACTTTGAGTCTGTAATGATATATTTAGTACCGGACTGGACTTGGCGGAGTGTGGGAGATGGTCTCATCTTACCAAGGAGGGTGGGCGGCAGCCAATTGACCTGAGAACATCAACGTTCACGACAGGCCGTTCACCCATGCCATGAAACCCAAACCCGACAGCCGATGTAGGTTGGACTTCACCCTTGGCCACACCATCAAGGCTCAGGAAGGACCTATCAGCTGCTGAAGGTCGGCATAAAGGGCAGATCATATAGCGACATTCGTGCTCTAAACTGGGAACCCAGGGTCGAGGATTCTCAGTTCCCAGAAAAATCGCGTCTTGGTAAGGTTCGAAAATTTGATGATTGGACATGGGATTGCGGCGCAAATTGTCTCTTGATGTGGCGTTCCGGACCTTTTCAGTTCTCAAGTCAATTCCGGAGCTTCTATGGGGAACGGACACTTCCCAACACTGGCGAAATTTACTCACAGACTCCCGCTGCCGTAGAAGGGTTTGAATTTGCTCCGGGCGATATTGTGACATTTGCTGTGGTGTGAGTTCATCGAAGAGACTGAGAGGGTCTGCTCTGGCTTCTGCGCTCCCCGCTCTAATGCGTAACTTTGAGGACCAATATTCCCCCAGACCGTCAAAATATTGCTTTATCTTCGGTTAGAAGAAGTTTGCTAAAATAAATAGGGAAAGAAAAGGGTAAGGTACCGGACAACCAGCGGCCACTGCGCTCTCAATCATCACCTCGCGATCTTGCGTGCAACAATACACCCAACCAAAGGGACCTGGGCGGCGGCACGCATCGCACACAAACTCAAAGCCGTAAAGCCGCGTCATGGTAAGATGCGTACATGTAGGCTTGAAGCGGACCGGCACCAGAATGCCTGGTGGGCTTTGATGAGCCATGTCGGCGAGATGGCTCTTGGTCGGCTTGGTCAAGGGAGCGGCAGCAAACCTCGAGAGTTGGGAGAGAAATTCGGTGAGAGAAAATGTCGAAGTGGGTGACTCGATCATCTGGTTTAAATTTAGAATGAGAATGCTGCACGAAAAGATTGCGAAGACGCTTGTGCGCTGAGTTTGCCCCGTTAGAAAGGGAAGAATTCAAGTCTTGAAAGTTAGAAACGGTTGGAGTCAGAGGAGGGAGGCAGAAAACTCACCAGCCCACCTCTGAACTGTACTGATGCGTGGGACTCGTAGCCAAGAGGCGCATGTGGTGCTCAAAGTTCTGAAAGCAAGTAATTTACTCTGAGAACACGAGGCAAGACGGCAGCCACCGCGTCTCGTGCAAATCACCACCGCTGGCCAACTGATGCCAGATGGCCACAGCCGCTGGCGGCCTTATTAGGTACTAACTTTCCCCATCTGCCCGGGGAACTCTGATTCCCTGGGTTTTACTGTTGGTAAGAATCTGCATCTCTAGAAGAGACAGCTCAGTCACTGCGAGGCCAGCTTTAATCCTCAACAGGGAAAGAAATCATCGAACTCGTGCAATTGCCACCTCAAGAGGAAGTAGACAATCAGAACAATGCCCTGTTCTACGTTTGACCATTTCAAATACCGTTGGAGAAGCTTACGCCGGAGAAGTGCTCAGCAAAGTCCTGGCGGAAGGCTTCTTCGGCGATTCTGTCGAACCTGGAACTGTCCCTCGTAATCAAAATCAAACTGGGGTCACGTAGGTTTTGATTGCAATAAGTACTGATGACTTTGGCATCATGGGGACTGTCAAGGCGATTAGCCATCTCGATCTGCCTGCCCCTGAATGAAGAGAATGTAGAGAGTGAATGTGAAGATATATGCATTCACCAAGGCCTTCGAGGAAATTCGTGGTGGCTTCTCCAATGGCGGCTCGTGGAGAATATTCATAGTTAATAAACTGTAGCTGGCGAACAATCGTCTCTGAAGGTTACACAATTTGCAATCATCCCATATCGTCCGTCGCACCTACACGCACACTTCATTAGTTATCTTTGAGCAAGAGCGATACGAGACATGTTGGATTTGACCCCGTTGCTCCTTCAAGTAGACAACAGCCTTCCGCCTCAGCCAGCATCGCCCCTAAGTCCCAGCCGGAGAAAAAGCACAACACCACCTGATGCTGGTCTACTTCATCATTCTTTGTATCACTCTCACCTACGTGTCTTCTATAATGTATCCCTTCTCATGAAATTCTGGCCCCAAAAAAAAACGATAAACAGCTAATCGCGATTACAGACCAGCGTAGGACGAAATGCAGGACATCCAAGATCTCAGGGACTGCTGGCGTGTCTATCAACATTTTGCACGATAACCAAATCATCCCAGCTGACAAATCATCTTCACGGGTTCATGGTAGAGAGCCGGTTGATGGAAATGAGGCGATCGGTTGCGATGCAATTCTTGCACGTTTGTTGGAGACCTGCCAGTTGCTATCGCGATACTACATTGACCAGCCTAACTATGCATTAACGGAGTTGCCTGAAAATTCCAATTAGCTTTCCCAGAAACTGGCATACCGACAAGCTTCCGACCTTGGGTAGGTACAAGAGGTTTTTGAACGCCGTCTTTGAGATCGCATTCCAAGATCTGTCAATTAGAGCACAATAAGTCCCCCATTCAAGGCCCGCTTGGCATACGTAGTGACCCCTTCCATGAATGAGACATGCTCAAATAGTTTCTGCCCTAGTTCAGCAAGAAAAAATATCTTCTACTATATCCTTGACAGAAAATGGACAACATGTTAGGCAGCCAATCGGCTACCCGTAAGCTGCAGCTGGAGAATTCGTTTACAGGTACATGAAAGTACCTTTGCTGTCCAAAATCTTCCAAGAGGCCTAACGCATATGCGGGATTGATCAAATGTCACTAGTTGGTTCCTGTACATCATTTATGCATCCAGATTTTGGACAAGCTGACCGCTGTGCAGGCGCATGTAGCGTGTGGTGGCAGTTACAGCGTATCTCAAGACCGGAAAACAATTTCATTGGCCTTCAGCCTTTAACAGGACGATCACCACCGTTACTAAAGTCCTAAATCAAACAGGTTCAGCGGATGGGGGAATTGGACAAGGTGAGAGCAAAACTGCACATTGTGCAGTCTTGTGCTATATAAGCGCCGGCCTGTCCCATCTACGGCCTGGGCAGCGCACCTTGACCAAAGGCTCACAAAGCCTCTTACTAGCGATCGCCTTCATTCTCTTGACTCTTATTCGGCCAAATTCTCTCCAGGCCTACCACTGACCTTGGTGTGCTGTCTTCTCCCTTTACCCCTACTAGCAAGATGGACGACCTCTTCACTCAGCACAAGCCACTCATTAAGCGCCTATACCAGGAGGAAAGAAAATCGTTGAAGCAACTGAAACAAATTTTAGAGAGCAAATACCAGTTCCCGGAATCATCGTACGCTTTCAGGAATCCTGGACTTCTCCCGATCTAAGCTGACCCAAAGCATAGGATCTCCCTCTATGAGACAAAACTAAGAGATCTCCTGGGAGTGCGAAAGAAGTTCAAAAGAGAGGACTGGCCAATTATCTATCAACACCATCTGAACAGCAATAAAAAGAATACCGCGCTATATTTGGATGGAGTGAAATTCCCGTGGACGAAAGCCTGGAAGGAAATCAGGCGTTCTGGTGCAAGGGAAGCGGCCGGTGGTGAGTTCATGGACTGATCCTATTCTGGCCCAGCTCCTAATATTTTGAAGCTCGAGATACACCACTTCCACACGGAATAGAGCTGCGTAGCTCATCGCCCTCTGCACCTGGACCTGCAAATCGCTCCCCCCCAAGAAATACCTGTCGATTCATCTTGCCAACTTCCCCTCGTCAGGCATTTTCTTACGGCCCAGATCGCGAGTTTATCAATCCTATTATCGAATCTAATTGGAGTATGAGTGATTTCAATTCATACAATTTAGCGAAGGATGTTGCCACCACTTCCAATAATCACATGTGCGTCAGCATAGGCCTGCTTGACTTGGACACATCCATGGCAGCAGCAGTCTCATTTCCTAGTAAGTGACAGCTAACTCATGCTCATTTGAAGCACGTCTATTAATCAGCCTCAGGGATCGATTACAATTCTCTCCTCTCAAATGAAGATGAAATTACTATCCCAGTACCTCAAAATAGAATGCCTCTATGGAGTTGCACGGAAATGGGAGCTTCGTCTGTTAGCATCAAGCCGTTTTACAGAGTTCAACTTTTGCTCGAAGATTTACCCTGGCAAAGCTGTCGACTTTTGTTTTCCAGTAAGTAGTTGAGAGCTGTGCCCTATACATATGCTGCCTGCCTATAGTAGGAACTTTTCTCTAACCGGATTTGAAAGGATTTCTAAAAGGCGAGAGCAGCACTCAAATCAAACACCAAACAGCCAATGGCATTATTTATAGTCTCATACACCGAGACTGTTTTTCTACGGATACTTCGGGGTTTGCCTTGGCCAGAATGTGCGATACTACCTTCCCTGCCCCCTGGGATATTCGACAGACAGCCTCGAGGTTAAACCCATATTCTAACATGGAAGTCTACTGTTTCTTGGCTCAGGCCATCTATTTACTTTCAAATTCGTTATTGCATTATCATGACTTGAATACAATCGAACTGATCAAGGCTCTTCTTCAGCTCCCTCCAGGCACACTATTTTCACTCTTCCAAAACGACTTTCCGTCTATCTATGCCGCCTGGGAGGGGCTGCTTCGCATTGTGATCAGCATTTTATCATCTTTAGAACGAGAAGTTCTACAGATGTGGCGAAACGTCGATATTCATTCTGTGGCTTGCTCCCTGATAGAGGTAGCCCTACACCGAACCAAGTGGCTGATAGAAAACGATAAAGATCTTGTCCATGCAGCTATCTTAATCTCAAATTCCAACTTGCTTGAGCGACTGCTGGGCAAGGGCGCCTGCCCAGAGCGCACTTGGAAAAGGATCATTGCAATATATTACGCCGCGGAGGCAAGCTCAGCGCCATGCATCAAAATATTGATCGAAGGTTGTGACCCGAATCATAGACTCAAAGATTCAAGGTCGCATTTTACCTTCATTCTTGAGGAAATTATCAGACTGAAAAGATGCAAACACCTTTCCGAACGTCAAAACAAGCAGCGCGAGCTACTACTCCGAGTCGTTGACTCCTATCTGGAGGCAGGTGCTGATGTTAATTCACCTTATCCGTCTTGTGACAAACACCGGGAACTCCTGGAACAGACTAAAGCCCCTAAAGACTGGTACCCAACCTTTTTGGATTGGAGCTTTCAATATGACAGGGAGTTATTCGACCGAATGCAGCCGCGAAGTTCAGTTGATGAAACGACCATAACAAGGCACGGAATCCTCCTGGCTGCCATGCAGGGCAGATCAGCACTCTCAGGATACATTAGATCTCGGAGCTCGCAAACGGCTACAGAAGTGAGCCAGTTCCTAGAGCTCGTTATTCGAGAGCAATTCATATCCTCTTTCCTGTGGGGCTTTTTCAATATCAAAATTGTCAAAAGTCTCTTGAGTATTGGGATCCAAATGCATCATTCCGACTATTCAATATGCTGCATGAGACTTCTGAAACATTCTCGAGGAAGAGAAGACTACGATAGTCTTTGGGTTCTTAACCACCTATTTCAGAATGGGCTTGTCGTTACTTGGCATATTTTCCGTGCCGCCGTATCCAAGGAGGGTATAGATATGCTTGACGTCCTCCGGAAATACGTCGTTGATGTTGGAAAGATTGGCGGGCCCGCCCTGGTGAAAGCTGCAAGACTTGGTAATTATGAAGCAGTGGGTTGGCTATTAGGCTTTGGTGTGGACATCAAAAGCCTAATACCAGATAGAATCGGCACTCGGCACGATTTGGAAGTCAACACTGTGATAGGGATTTTCATCTGCGAGAGTTGGGAAAATCCAGACACATCAATGTTAGGATATCTGGTCGGATGCGGCGCTGAGCTCAAGAGAACTGTGAGCGACCAGCACGCGGGGGGTCTCTTTGAGTTGATTAGAAAGTCTAGGAAAGGAAGTGCAACGAGGCTTGTCCCTTGGCTTCTTGATCAACTCGAGGTGCGAGGTACTGGAAAGATGTTGAGAGTTGAACTTCAAGCTATATACGCAATCGCTGCGATAGCAAATTTCGACAAGGGTTTCGAGAGCAGCTCCTGGTCGTCAATCTTTAATAGGTTGCGTAATACGTACGGTCTCCCACCGTGCCCCGAAGCCATCCTAGGGTCAATGATTGTGGCCAAAGCCCCTGACGAAAGGATCCAAGAGCTTATCCGGGCTAGCATTGACATTAACACCTATTCAGAAGAGATCTTCTACGGGAGCTACTATACCCCGATACAAGCAGCTGCATCTGTCGGTAATTATCCCTTGGTGGTTCAATTATTTGAGATTGGGGCGGATGTGAATAGTCCGGCTCGAGGGAAATATGGTAGAACAGCACTTCAAGCAATCTGTGGGTGGAATCCTGTGTCTGAAAAAGATAAGAGTCGTCAGCAGGATATTGTGAATTTCTTAATCGAGAAAGGTGCAAATGTCAATACTGCCCCGGCGCACGGCTATTTCGGTCTTACAGCAATCATGGCATCTGCAGCACATGGAGATATTGAACTCGCCACTATCTTGTTGGCTCACGGCGCTGACCCCAATATTTACCAATGGCAGTTGACCTCAATTCCATACGCGGCCTTAGACCGTGCCTACAGCAGCTGTGATATGACGAAACTCTTACTAAATGCGGGAGCTTTGAGTTCACATCGGGGTTCAACCGGATACGAAGGTGCTTTGTGGGTGGCTGAACATACAGGTCATCATGCTGTCGTAGACATAATTCGCGACCACATGTTGCAGAAGGAGGAGCAATTCCGTTCGAAATCAGAGCTGCGGGACTTGCACAATGCAGTCTTACATAGATTGGATCTTGGAGATGCCTCGAGGCACGCGAACGAGACATACGATGAACTTGAGACGCGTGAGATCAAGGGCATTCAAAGAAGGGCAAGTGAGCGCGGATGGAACTACCCGCCACAATCTCCCCTATAATAGCTGGGTATCAAAACTGCCCTTTGGGACTTTCTCTAATATTAACCACGAGAAGCAACTTGATAAATTGGTAGCTTAGGAGAAACACAATATTAATGTACAATTTGTCTTCCCACTGTACTCATCAGCATCAGAGCGTCCTCTTTTTATTACACACTGTCGCTCAGTGATAATGGGACTTACCTACTATAAAGGAATGAATAAAAAAGAATTTGAGTGCGATTGACGGAAGAAAGGCAGACGTGATCGAGATCAGAGCTCGGCATGTCAGGGAATAAAGTCGAAAATGAGGAAAAGGATAAGCGGGTGCCCAGGAAAGAAGATAGGGACGAGGGATACGCCTGGACGGGAAGGAAGGAAAAGAGAAAGAAATGTTTGGGATCTTAGATACGAATATTTGTTCCATGTCGCTTTTTGCTTGCTCCATAGCAGCTATCATTGGGTTGCTAGGGCACTCAATTTGCCGTTGTCTTTTGGTTGAGGTTTCCTTCTTCAAAACACCAATTCTATTCGATATGATCAAGCGGTAAAATAACATCTAAGAGACTCGAGATAAAGGCGATCTTGGGGTCTGTTAGCTGATGTCTCAATATACCAATCTGCATCCTCCTATTATTTTCAACACTCCTTATACCCTTATTGGAGTGAAGTAGGAGGCCTGAGAGACCTCTTGACTACTTTGAATGTCACATGTCTGATCAGACATGGTTGGATCCTGTCGTTCGAGGTAAGCGAGTCTGTGACACCACCATTCTGGCAGCGGGCATGTAACGAGTAAAGTTCACTTGCAGGCAGATCTCCAACATCTAGCTTTCTACAAGGATCTCAGTTGGGAGTCTTAGAAGCTTCCCACTTTTCAAAGCCAGGCAATAACTGGCCGTATGCAAGTAAACTTTCGCTTGAGGGGCCAATTTAACTGTATCAAATCACAGGCTGACAACGCGACGCAGCACATGCACCCCAGGATCATAAACATCGTCAGCCAAAGACATGGGTCTAAATTAGTGATGCCTGATGCTGGCCGTCCACTGTGACAGCGGTTGCTAGGGGTTTCGGGACCCACCAGGAGAAGCCTCGGCCTCGGTGTGTGTGTTTAGATAGCATGGGCCATCGGGCCAATCACGGGCGACATGCCACTGGCCAATGGCTCAGCTCAGCTCCAAGGCGCCAACCACCCGTTTGCTGTGCTCAGTCCACAGCCCAGCCCAGCCCAGCTCAACTCAGCCGTCGCGACATGAGATCCCCTTCCCTTCAGTCTCCGCCCCCAGCCAAGTTCCATCATCTCCCCTCCACACGGTTCGCGACATCCACATCACCACCATCGACGACCTGGACCACGCTGCTTGGAGGTGAGTCTCTGTTCCTTTGCTGCCGATTTGTCGCGTCATTTCTGCCGCATGCCCACCCAATGCACGCAATTCCCTACGCTGCCCCTGTCCCGAATTGGGAGAGCTGCACCAGTCTCGGCGGGTAAACAAATCCATTGGCTGGGCAGCCAAGACATGGATTCACAGCGCCTCCTTCACTTTCAGACCTCACATCACCCCAGACGCCTCTACTACACCTCAGGAATGCGATCCCGTCTGAGTTTCATCTTTGCTAACGCCTTCCTTCTACTCCCAGACTCTGAGCAGCGGCGAACGCATTCACCGACGACCTGACACGCGCGAACACCTGAACCGCCATCATGTCGGTGAGCTTCGAGAAGCAGACGAAGGAGGCCCTCAAGACGGCCGGCGATGCCATCGCTGGAGATGCTCAGACCATTCCGGGCACGAGCGGCAAGCACCCCATCTCCGCCGCCATCGGCACGGCTCTGACCGGTGGCAAGGAGATGGCGGGCACCAAGGGATATCTCGCTGTGCGTAACCACCATTCACCTCTTCCGAGGCACCAAGGCTCACCAATGCATGTTGTTTTCTATAGGCCTACATGAAGCAGCTCGAGGACAACCCGCTGAGGACCAAGATGCTCACAGCTGGTACACTCGCCGGTGCTCAGGAACTCATTGCCTCGTGGCTTGCAAAGGACCGCAACAAGCACGGCAACTACTTCACCTCCAGAGTACCCAAGATGGCCGCCTATGGCGCTCTCATCAGCGCACCTCTGGGCCATTTCCTCATCTGGCTCCTGCAATTCACATTCAAGGGCCGCACCAGCCTCCGGGCCAAGATCACGCAGATCATCGTCAGCAACATTCTGGTATGTCCCACCAAGGCGCTCAAACCACCTCATTTCTCTACGTCGGGCTTTCCAAACTAACCGCAGAACTCTTTCAGATCGCGCCCATCCAAAACACCGTCTACCTCGTGGCAATGGCTCTCATTGCTGGCGCGCGCACCTACCACCAGGTTCGCGCCACCGTCAAGGTCGGTTTCTGGAAGGTGATGCGGGTCACCTGGATCACTTCTCCCATTTGCCTCGCCTTTGCGCAGAAGTTCCTCCCTGACCAGCTCTGGGTACCATTCTTCAACATTGTCTCCTTTGTTATTGGTACCTACATCAACACCGTCACAAAGAAGAAGCGCCTTGCTGCTCTCCGCAAGAAGCACTTCGGTGACAACCGTGGCGACAGCGTTGGTCCCCGCCCCGGCCCCGGTAGCATCGGTCGTCCTGAGGACTACAAGGACTATCCTCCGATCGGCCCTAACCCCCCTTACTAAACTGAACGGCGACCAACTGGGGGGCGTGTGTGATGTGGTGAAATTGCACAACTCCTGTATCTAACAATATTCTTCCTGGAGAAATCGGTTCCAAGCAAAAGCGACCTTGCTCGGTACATCTGCCGCGGATGACTTCCACACTAGTAAAAAATATCAACTAAACGTGGATATGGGTGTTGCAAGATTTGAGGTGGAGTGGTTCTTTGGGCTTGTTGGTAATGATTGTCTAGAGGCTCCTTGTACAAATTTCGGCCTGATTGATTTTATGTTATGTTTCATGTGTTGGTTGGCAGTCAGGTAGATAGGATAGTTTTCTATTTGAGTTGCCGTTTTTTGAGGCATGTTCACACGCGTGATCTTGCCCAGGCGTATGGCCTATGTAGTTGCCAGGATTATGAGGCCATAAGTTTGAGAATATGGTCTCGGCGCCATGAGAGCACACCATGATAGCACACCAAATGCTCAGAGTATTGAGCAAGCCCTGGACGCGCTCCATTTCATATGAAGTGGTGTGATCGTTATAGTGCCGGGCGACTGATATATGGCCCTGGCATGTCATAAAGCAAGCTCGATGCCGGCCTTTGAACTCAAGATCCTATAGCCTTAAGCTTTTCGAGCCGGTCTTGGGTGGCTATGTTGTTCAACCATGTTCAAGGTGACTGGCGACAAAGTCCTCTTCACTCGCCCTCTTTTACAGCGCCGTCCGTGTCAACCATGAAACTCGGGCTCCAGTACTCCCACTCACCCTTAGTCTGTTTGTCAACCCACAGCATCCCCTCAGACATGAGATCGTCAATGACCGTCTTGCACCTGGCCGTCTCCCACCCCAGGTTATCCCGCAGCATCCCGACACTCACATACCCGAGCACCTGCACCGCCTCCACGACAGCCCTCTGGTCGCCGCTCAACTCCCTCGGCACGCTCCGAATATACTCCTTCCTGCCGACCTGCAGCACGGCGTAGCTCCCGCCCAGGGGCCCGAGCGTCTCGACGGCGCGCCGCACGTCGTCCTCCGAGATCTCGCTGCTCCCCTCCATCCTCCCCTTGGACACCCTCTCCGTCAGCTCGGCCAGGCCGATGAGCCCGCCGTTCTCCCCGCGCGTGACGCCGCACACCTCGACGACGCGCACGGCCAGCTCGAAGTAGAAGTCGTTGACGCTCTCGCCGAGCAGCTGGGCCCACAGGCCGCCGCCGCCCTCGGTGGTGTGGCTCGAGGCGAGGGGGTCGACGCCGATGACGCTGCACATGCGGGCGAACTGGGCGCGGAAGGCCGGGTCGGAGCGTATGTCCTTGGCGTGGGTCTGGGCGAACTGCTGGAGGAGGGAGCGGAAGACGGAGAGCTGCGTCGAGAGGGCCTCGGCGTTGGTGGCGCGCAGGTTGGAGCCGTGGGAGGCGAAGTGGGCGGAGGTGAGGCGGGAGCGGTCGAAGGCGCCGATGCCGACGCCTTTGCGGGACATGGCGAGGGTTGGGAGGGTGTAGTTGTTTCTTGTTATTTGGCCTGGTCTGCTGGAGAGCAGACCCTGGCTGTCGTTGAGGTTGTCTGATGGATGTTGGTTCAACCTTGGTTTGAGGCGCGGGGGAGGAGACCGGTGGCGGTGGGTTCAGATCGAGGTTGGTGGTGCGGAACGGGGGCCGGGGATATGATAGGGAGGTACCTGCGTGCTTCGTTTTTGACTACAGGTTACAGTGTGTTTTCATGTAGCTGACTAACAGTGATGTAACCAGATCCACGGTACCCTTCCGCAGTCCAAATTGTCTCTGCTCTGTTACTCTTGGTCACAATGAAATCAATATATCGAGTCACACGTCACGCAAGACTTACAATTACTTTTGACTTTAAGGTTAAGTGTCTGTCCGACCAGCAATTCACCACGTGAATCCCTTCGAGCAACGGTCTGCCATTAGTGCTCAGCCGGACCAAGTCTAACATTAATCAAGCTGCATTAATAAGTCCTACCTAGCTGGTTTCATGGCTGGCCCAACCCAAGAACCGAAGAGGGCTGCAGTACAAGGATGCCATCGTGTTGATCACCAAGTTAGACGAGGGTCCAGATTCAGCTACAACAGCTAACTCTTGCATATCACCTACCATTCTCTCTCCCGCCGTCCCCAAGATCTTCGGCACTTCTCCTAGCTAGTGGGAAATCCGCCTCGCCAACTCCACCTGCCTAATCGTTTTCCTTGTTTGAATTGGGGGGGTCCAGCCAATCCATCGTTTCATCGCCGCCACATGTCGCGAGCCAAAACGAGCCTCGCCATGCAGTTTATGGAATGTAGTGCGAGCTGGTTTGGAAGCGTCCAAGGCACTGGCCTTCAATTACGTCGCTGCAGGACCGAAACTCGGGTTCCACAGCCTCGACGGTTTCGCCAGCAGTGATTCGTCCGAGGTGATCGAGCTGAAAACCACAACGGGAAGCTCAAACCACAGCCAAGATGTAATGGCTGCATGTACGACGAGCCAGTGACGATATCTCGACGCTTTGTATGCAGTCTAGGGCTCTAGCCCATTTGTATAAGAAGGGACCTCTTTTCCTGTCCAGGATGGCCGTCTCTATCTGCCCATCAGAGAGTAATCCAGCATAGATCACAAAGCCAGCATCATGAAGGTCAGCCAACAAAACTACAACTCACGTGTATAAGACCACCACAGCCTAACAACCACCTCAGTTCCCCGTCGTCCTCATCACGGTCCTCGCCACCGTCACCAGCGCCGCAAAGCTCACCCAGAGCCAGGCCGAGACCCGCCTCAAGGCCGCCGGCATCACCGCCACCTCCTCGGGCGGCTGCACGAACCGCAACGTCGCGACCTGCACGTCCTACGAGCAGGTCAACGAGGCCACCGTCCAGGGCGCCATCACCCTCAAGGGGGCCTGCGGCTGCGACGTCACCGTCACCGGCGGCACCGAGACCGGCCACGCCAGCGGCACCTACTCGCACTGGAACGGCTACAAGTTCGACTTCCGCAAGGGCGCCGGCATCGACGGCTACGTCAAGAACACCTTCACCAGGATCGCGGACCGCGGCGACGGCTACCCCCAGTGGAAGGCCGCTTCCGGGAACATCTACTGCGTGAGTTGAGATTCCCTTCGTTTTGTTGCTTTGCGTGCGGTTGACTTACACGATGCATAATATAGGATGAGGGCAACCATTGGGATGTTACCTTTTACACTAACGGTGGCTAAATGGCCAGTTCTGCGGCTGTGGATGAAAAGAAATGAGTTGATGACCTAGAATAGCTAAGAATAAAGTTATTTTACGTTTATTTGGTTTAAGAATGCCGAGTTCAGTTGTCTGCCCTGCACCTCCTTTCAGTCCCAATTCCTAGCCTGTCGGTTACCATTGTGATCCCATCTGCATGTGTTTCGCAAAGTCATAGCATTTGCCATTATGTCACTTATGTGAGAAGAGAGGAAGCATGCCATCACAATCAAAGCTAGGAGTTTTCCCTCCCGCCTGCTTTTTTTTTTGGTTCATGTCTACGGCACCACCAGGCGCCTCGTTCTCATCTTCCCAAGAGTGGTGATATCCTCAATACAAATAGACCAACGCATTAAAGACAAACTCGTCACTAACATCAATGCCCCTTGTCTATTGTGGCCTCTTGGCACGCAGAGGCCCATCATCGTCATAAAAAGTCGTAACCCATCCCAATATATGCCTCACCATAAAAATGTACCATCAGAGTAAATAATGGCCCGGAATTTTTTTTTATTGAGTATGGCATTGAGCCTGGCCATCTCCCATCTCGTCGTCATCTTCCCATTCGTTGTCGAACCGGGGGTCTCCCGAGTTTTCGCCCATCTTCAGTGCCCACATGTCAGTAGAGTCCTCAAAACAGAAAAGAACCGGACAAAGGGGGGCTGTTGTGGTGAAACTTACCTTTTCAATGTCTGCGTCATCTTCATACTCCACCTCGTCAATCTCATCAGCCTCCACACTTGGGAGTGCCGGGGGCAGCATCTTGGCAAGAGTCTCGTGCTGAGAGTCTTCCTTCAGGAAATCATCCTCAGGAAACTCAATATCGACAATCAGGTACAGATCACCCTTGGTCTCTCCCCTCTTCATGGGCATACCCTCTCCGGGAACCTTGAGAATGTCACCAGGTCGGAGGACCTTGCCCCTCTCCCGTTCCAGGGCAATACCACGGCCGTCGAGGTGCTTCAGAACCGTCCGTGAGAACCCAGACAACGCCTCAACCAGAGAAATCTTGAGCTCAGCAGAAAGATCGTATCCGAGGCGTGTGAATGTGTCATGAGGTTCTTCAACCAACGTGAACACAATGTCTCCCGGGATCTGATCCGGAACCTGATCGGCCTCGCCCTCCAAGACAATGTGCTCGCCCTGCATTGAGCCCCGGGGGATATACATCTCGATCGCCTTCTTCTCCTGCACCGTGCGGTTGCCCTTGCACTTCTTGCATCGATCCTTCTCCTTGTAGAACTGGCCAGAGCCATGGCAGTGGTCGCAAATGACGGTCTCGCGTCGCATCATGCCGGGGCCAATCTGCCGGATAGCCTCGACCATGCCGTTGCCCTTACACCGGTCGCAGGTGGTCGCCTTGGCCTTCTCCTTGCCACCGCTGCCCTTGCACTGGGTGCAGATGATTTGCTTGTTCGCCGCAAACTTGACGGTCTTACCGCGGTAGAGTTCCTCGAGCGTGACCTTGTATTCCTGCTGCTCGTCGGGGCCCTTCCGCGGCCGCCTCGGTCCTCCAGCGCCAGGAGGGCCGCCCGGTCCGCCCATGTCGAACCCGAACATCTGGGAGATGATGTCGTTCAGGTCGACCTCTGGGCCAGGGCCCCGGGACTTGTCAAAGGCGGCCATGCCGTGGGTGTCGTAAAGATGGCGCTTCTCATCGTCGCTAAGGATCTCGTAGGCTTGAGTGACTTCCTTGAACTTGACTTCGGATTCGGCACGCTGGTCCTCAGCGACCTTGTCGGGATGATACTTGAGGGCAGCCTGGCAGGGAGACAGATGAGCGACAATTCATGGAAAATATCAAGGATTGGGAGCCGTCAGAGGTTCGCCACGGTATCCGGGCTCGTTCTCACCTTGCGGTAGGCCTTCTTGACTTCATCTGGTGTTGCGTTCTTATCGATACCGAGGAGGGCTGGCGGTAGTTTCGGATTAGAGACCTGGATTGCGGCAACGGAAGGCGTGCGGAGGATGAGGCTTACCGTAGAGATCAATGTCCTCCTCACCGGGGGGACCGAAGCCGTCCATGGTTTTCAGGTGAAAATAAAGCGAAACGAAAGCCCAACGTGATCTAAAGGGTGAAAGCAGAAACCAACACGCAGCGAAGCAGGATGATGGCGGGTGGACAGCGCTGCTCGAATAGAAAAAAAGATTTTGGCAAGCGGGCAGCCTGCTTAGCGTTCCTCCCAGTTAGTGGGGGCGGTCACTGAACAAATGCTACTTACTTACGATAAGTGAGGTCAAGTTAGTACTAGGACAATCTTACCCCTATACAAAAGTACATTAGATCAAGCGGGGGACACGTGAGATTGCTGCTGCCTTAAGCATATACCGGATGACATTCCATCTCACACAAATTGTAATACCGCCTCGTCTCGTCGAGCGTCGCAGCACCGTGGAAGGGGAGGTTTTAGAGGGGTAATTCAGTACACAGATAACCCACGCCACAGGAGCCACAGTGTGGCGCTAAAACCCCTGTAGATCCTGAATCGGCCGTTGAAAATTCCCATAATTATAAGGCCTGGACCATGATTGGGGATCGCCAATTCGCATATGACAACTACCTACCTAGAAAAGTATAAAAAAATGGGCTTCTTGAACTCAATCTCTTACCCTACGATCAGAATATGAAAACACCATCATAGACAGTCTGTCCAATGGCCTCCTTACGCTGGCGCTCCAGCATTTCTCGGAGCATATCCTGTCCAAGATGCCGTCAGCCCACTGTCCTGTGGCGGCGTCTTTGTAGCAGTAATGCTACTTCTCCAACATGGGTCAAGGCCGCCAATTCTTTGAACAAAACCGGGGAAAGAAATATAGGAGAAACAAACGGCTGGGATGGGCGGCCCCAACTACGCGGTTATGCAACAGAAGCACCGACAACGACAGCAAAGACTAGAAAAGGCTCGCGCTTAGCTTCACTCAAGAGCCAAGCCAGCACTGAAGGCAAGGCACTTGCACCCAAAAAAGTCCGTCGAATCTTTGGCCAGACTCCAGATAAACCTATCAGAGCAAGGTTTGCGCCTTCGCCGACTGGCTACCTTCATCTTGGATCTCTCCGGACTGCTCTTTTTAATAATCTGGTAGCCATCGCCTCGAACGGGGGCTCCTTTATCCTTCGCTTAGAGGACACTGACCAAGTGAGTCCCCTTTTCATATTAACCACTGACTCTTTCTTTTATTCTGACAGCATATCTCTTAGAGCCGTCTTGTAGCAGACGCCGAGGAACGTTTATACAAGGACCTCAAATGGCTCGGGTTG